TAACACTGCCCTCAGAGGGCCAAGGTAAGTAAATTCAATCTTTAAAGCATTGGCAATACTTCCAGTGTTTTATTGGACTTGACATCACTTACTTTTTAGATCCTTTTAAAGGAAGATTGTGTTGTGTGTGGCCAAACTTTTTACAATTTTCTTTAATGTTATTATCAGATATTTCAGGATTTTTCTTCCCCTGTTTATTAATCCTTAGTGCAGGAGAACTGGCATCTGATTTAAAACAAAAGTACTTTCTTTTTTTAAAAAAAGGGGGGGGGGTGAGCAGCATTTGTGTAATATTTCTGTTAAAACCATTTTAGTAAGTTGATGACACACACAGGAGAGACAGACTTTAGTGCTCTGTGCTTGGTGTCCCCCCCTCCCCATACACCCTCCCGCCTTAAATCTCACTTATGTCTGTGTGGCAGCTGTTGCTTCTTCTAAGAAGCAAATTTTTGAACTCAGGTTTCTGTTGCATATCAGCACTGTATATTAAAGACGTTTCCTTCGCACCTCTTAAGCCATTTACATACTGAAAAAATGTAGACCTTTTGCAAAAATGACCAGTTTGTTAAAATTACAATGTTTTTTACTAATGGGATTGAAATTAATAAGCTGTAACTTTTCTCAGAACTGCTGAATATCTGCATCCTGAGGATTATAAGCGGTTGAGAATAAAAATAGCAGCCATCAGATCTAAGGTAGAGTTCATGTTCAAAGGGAGGGCGCGAGCTCGGAGGTGAAGTGAGAAACTCAATGACTTGGGCAGTTTGATCTTTCTGGACACGGGTTGTTGAAGACTTGCATGGATTCCTAGAAAACTCCTTGTGAGAAGGCTTTGTGATGCTCTTCAGGAGTATCAAAGCTGTGAACGTTGCATCACTAGAATAAACGTTTTCTGAAACACCTTGGAGGCAGAGTTCTTGTTATAGCCATCAAAAGGGAGTTAAAAAATAAGGTTACAGTAAGGAAATACAAAGCCAGCCACAAGGGTCACATTCTGAAAGAGCTTTCCTTAAGCATTCTTTGCTACTGTTCTTATCCACGGTGCTGCTAAATGGAGCACTAATTAGAGGCGCGTTTCATGAGGTTGCTTTTCACATGAAATCAGTTTTCATTTTCATGTGACTCAGGAATGTACTGCTGTCTTGTTTCCTGTTTGGGTGCATACTTTAATTAGTTCTTWAAAAAAAAAAATCCCTGAAATTGTATGTTTGTGTGCATTCTTTGTGATATATATTGATACTTCATATATCTGTGGGGTGTAAATTTTATTGGCCCTTTTCTCTGGAAGCCTTGTAAACTTTGACCAAGAAGAAAATGATGTATGAATTATGTTGCTTTGTTTGCCTTGGTGTTTGAAATTACAGTCTTTTTCTTAGAGTCTAATAAAGAGATCCTAAGAGAGCATGTTTTCAGCTTAGAAGGTTGTAAATTTAAGCAAAATAATAATTTAGCTTGCATTAACTCAGCAGGAAGCAGGGTACAAACAGATTAATCTTCTATGGCAGATCCACTTCTCTTTTTTTTCTTCTCCTCTTTTTTAAACAACCTCAGCTATACTCCATTAAATTGTCAGGATGTCTTGTCTTCTGGTTAGCCTGGATGGACTTCTCCTTTCTCAGGAAATTTTTCACTAGAACTGATGAATTTCTGAGTGTAAACTTTGTAACATTTATTTATGTTCAGRTATTTGGTAAACAAAAACTGCAGATATTTTTAAGCAGTTAATATTACCCATACTGTAAAAGGTCCTGTGGTTTGTTGGTTGTTGTGTGTATGTGTGTGTTTGCTTGGGTGGTTGTTTCGAAGGCAGAGAAAGTGTTCTTCCTTTCCAAATGCTCTCCTTCAAATATTTTTTTATATGGAGGATTTSTCTTTTAAAGCAGTTCAGTAAACACATGTCTATGGACTAAAATGTTTTTTAATCTTTGAACAGATTATGTAGGAGGAACACGGTTATAAGAGAGCACTTGGAGTGCATCTTGAGAGCCATTAAACCACTTCAGTAGTTAAGTAAATTGTTCACTGATATCGCTGTTTGCTTTATTCGTTAGAGGTGTTCACCCATTTGTTAATTAAATGACAAAATAAATAAAGGACAGATTGTAAATATGTGTACAGGCCTTGAAGAAAGATTGGACCACTGGTCATTTCAAGGGGAAACGAGGTTATTTTGTGTGTGTGTGTAGGGACATCTTGAAAACATTGCCTGACCAGCTCATCTAAGGGAGCGATTTAGGAAAAGCTTTTCCAAAGAAATGAGAGAAATACTTGGGGTCTTTAAGAAGCGACAGGGTTTTTCAAGAGTCACTTTTGAATGGTGTGTCTCGTGGGCGGCCTTCGCTCGCAGGCCGCAGGCAACGCGGCCGCGGCGCGGCGGGCGCTCCTGCATCGTCTCGGCAGCCGCTGCCGTCCRGCCTTGCCAGCTCTCTGCAGAGAAACTTGCAAGTGCTGGTCGTGCTCTTCTCATGGCTTTTCTATAGGCGAAACATCAGCTGCGTAACGCACTTGATGATGAAAAATCTGTTCCATTTTCTCCTTAAGAGACTGCGTTCCCAGTAGGCGCCATATGCCAGCTGTGATGCTGTCCTTTATAAAGCAGGAGGGAGCAGATGATCAGATAAGTGTGCCCTGGCTGTCTCTGAGTACCTGCTAAAAAATGTTCTTCTTTCATGAATTTCGTGATGGTGGGTGTATAGGTAAGAAAGCGAAGGCTTCTGTTTCTTTCCCAAAGTGACTAGTGAGTGTACRTACCCTGTCAGTCGGAGTTTTTGGAGCTGAGTCTGCCCATCTCCTTGTCACATTTATTCTTTGCAGTGAGGAGGACTTGTCTCTGAGACTTAGGTATGGGGATGGCTGACCTGTCCCGGGTGTATTGCTCTGCTGTGCACATGCATGCTCTCCTTGGACTCTTCTTCAGTAGTTTTCAGTCACCTGCCCTTCAGTGCATTAATCTTCCACAAAAGGCTAAGCTCAAAAGGCTAAGCCCTTGAAAGGTTGTTAAACCTAGTAGCAGGCACTTGCTCTCTTAATAACCATTCACTGTTACAAGTAGGCAAAATACAGTTTAGGAAAAGCTTACAGAAGATTCTCTTTATGCTCTTTTACAGAAAACCACCAAGATCTTAATATTTTAAAAACTTGTATGGAATGATCTCATATATAAAATACTGGGTTGACCTTGTCTCTTTGAGAGTCTCCACAGGTATCAGCAAATTTTGCTTTGGGATATTTTAGGTGTTCTTGGAAAGAAGAGGCATACTTTTACTTAGGCCTATGTTTATTTTGTTTTCAAGTATTTAATTAACTTAGTATAAATTAACTTTTAAAAAAGTACATTTCCATGTAATAACGTGTGTCTTCCTGTACTACACTTGTATTTCTTATCCAAATTTCAAAATCTCATATCAATTTGTGGTTTTTTTTTTTTTTTTTTTTTTTTTTTTTTTTTTTTTTTTATTGAATGCTTTAATTTGAGCTGGACTTTTCCATTAGGAAATCAGTTCAGACTCGCAGGATTAGCATGCATGTTCCTAGCTGAATTGGCACCAGAGATCTCTTCTCCATCCCCCACCACCTTTGCCTAGAAAAAATGGCAAATGGATGTGAATTTCCTTCTGAACTTGGCAGTGTCTAAAAGTTTTTTAGTCCCAGCTGATTCAGTGCTGAGTGATAAACTCAATTGAAAGGTTTAGCTTTCTAAACCAGTGCAGCCCTTAGATAATAGTTCTGAGCATTTCATAGAATGGCAAAACTGGATATAAGGAATTTAATTTTTCAGCTTCAACCATACTGAAATTGAAATTTCCTTTTTTTGAAGTTTAAACAGATAGGGCATGCTTCCTATTTCACAATGATACTTTGATGTAGTCTAGAGATCACAGATTAGAATAGTATTTTAGCATTAAGTGTACAAACTGCTGCTTTCAGTCCTAATCACTGCTGGATATTCTGCACTGCTAGGTACGCTTTTTTTCTTAAAATGTTCACGTGTATGATGACTTAATGATGTATTTATTTTTCAGAGACTTGGTAGGTACTTGTACGTGTGGTGTTTAATCTACAGAGTTGACAGAAATCAAAGGAAAAGTTAAGCTGATCTAACTTCACCTGTAGTACCTTGGTAATTACATATTAAAAATGCAAAGGTTGCTGAGATTGTTGGTGTGGCACTKTGCAGTCCAGGACTGTTTATGAGATTTCTCATCCTTAAATAGTGAATCACAGAATCACAGAATATTCAAGGTTGGAAGGGACCTCTAGAGATCATCTAGTCCAACCTTCCTGCTCAAGCAGGCACACCTACAGCATGTGGCACAGGGTGGCATCCAGGCGGGTTTTGAAGACCTCCAGAGAAGGAGACTCCACAACCTCCCTGGGCAGCCTGTTCCACTGCTCTGTCACCCTCACAGTAAAGAAGTTSCTCCTCACCTTTATTTCACTGTGGAGAAGAAATGAATAAATGACATTAATTAAGGTACCATGGCTTAGCCTCCTATTCTGTGGTCTTCTGTTCCCGATCACCTCATGGCTTGCAGAATCTTCTGCTGAGACTAGGGAAGGGAGGAGGAGATGGATTTCTTGCTGGATTCATCTTTCTAAAAGTTAACTGACTTCTGCTTTGTGTTCTTTGCTATTTATTCCTTTTGCTTTCAGGTAGGTTTGTTAAATACACTTTAGTAGATTCTCCCATTCCCCATATACGTGTATTTGCTTACAGTTTGGTCTTTTTTTGAGAAATTAATGATATTTTGTCTTTTGTTCCTACAAAACACACAATCTTGTAGTAGTTAAGGTTTCACTTTGTTATTTAAATTCATGTAGCACATTTTATAGTGCAGGCTTACTGTTTTATTTTCTGTGGGAAGAGGTTTCCTATGTGAACTGAAAAGATGTCTAAAAAGTTTTTGATATAATGGTTGTTTGACACTAATAATATATTACGTATTTTAATAATAAAGTTGCTTTTTACAAAACTGAAGGACATGTTTTTTCTCTTCTAGGAGAATATATAAAAAACTGGCGGCCAAGGTATTTCCTGCTAAAGACAGATGGCTCTTTCATAGGCTATAAGGAGAAGCCCCAGGATGTGGATCTGCCATACCCACTCAACAACTTCTCAGTGGCAAGTAAGTATTTCCAGTATTTATTATTCTCTCAACATATTGACAAATACCAGCTAAGTATTGTGTCATGTGCACTTCAGAATTTCTTGGTAATTGTGCAGGTTTGATGCCATGCTTCAGGATAGTCCTTTAGTAATTCCATATCCAGCACTACAAAGCATATAGAATTGAAAATTTTATCATGGATTGGGGTCTGAATTTTTTTTTTTTTTTTTAAGCCAAGCTGTTGACATTTTTATCTGTAACTAATGTCTGTAATTAATATTAATTTTTAACAAATTATTGTTGCAAGGAGAAAATTCTTGGAAAGCTTCCTGTATTTCGAATCATTGTCATCTTTTTTTCTTCTTCAGTAGTATCTGTAACTTCGCTTAAACTCAAATTAATTATAAAATTGTCTAGGCTATCAAATGACACAAAATCCTACTAAATGATTTTGCTCTTGGATAATCAGGTAATCAGCTCTCCAGCATGGCTAATCAGTAATTTCAAGCAATCAGACAATTTGCATAAATTAGCAAAGCTACAAAGTGTGTATCTGTTGGATGAAGTGAAACTATTTTGATTTCTTGTTTTCCAAAAATATTTTTAAAAAGGCAAATCTATATTTAGGTTGTTCTAGCCAAGTGAGATTGGTAGAAGAGTGTTTCTGATTGAAGTATACTGACTTCTGCATTGGAGGAACTTAACTAACAGGGCAAAAAAGTCTCTCTGAATATGAGCGTTGTGTGTATCGTGGCAGGAAACTTTCAAAGGAATACTAGCAAATTAAGCCAACTTATTTCAAAATTCTGTTAGCGTAGTACAGTAGAATATTTAGCTTTACAGGGGAGTACAGCAGCCATGCATGCTTAAGGTGAGGTTTCCTTCATCTGCATTGCTGAAGATGGAACAAATCCTACTGACACTGCCCATTTCTTTGAAAAAAAGTTCTCATGAGTGACTCGGCCTTTGTATGTAAAGTAGTTTGTGTGCTTGGTTTTGTAAGGGATGATTTTCTGCTACAAGTCAGTGTCTTGTCTCACAACTAAAGGAGAAAAATCTTGTGTATTTTAATTATGTCATAAGCCTTACAGATGATTTTGAGAACGCAAGCTCAAATGCTTTAATGATGCCTAGTTGCTTTAATGAAGCCTTTTAATGAAGTTGCTCATGTTAGGAGGAATTTATTAGGACAGGCTTAGTTACTCCTTAGGTACTCCATTTAATTTCCTAACCTTCTCACTTAAAACCTGTGCTCAGTAGGAAGACCATTTTTAAAATTATAGCAGTTTCTTTTGTCCAGTTTTGCCATGTTCTTCATATTATATCTAGTCTTCCTTTGCTATTGMAACTGGGAAGTTTCACCCAGTAGTTCTGCTAAGTGAAAAAACGCAGAATTCCCCTACTTCTTGTTGGTGACATTGTATCTTGATACCTAGAGATTGTTCTGTGTAATCCCAACCTTTGATCTGATGGAGATTGAAAGATTTTATATTGTTTGCCAAAAGAGGGGAATAATCCTATTTGCAACTAACAAGCCCCATAGGTCTATGGGCCTATGCAACATAAGCTAAAGGAGAGCTTAGATAAGCTTTTGTTAGCTAAAGGAAAGCTTAGATTGCTTGAAGAAATGTAGTTTGAGTAAGTAGGATGAGTTTTTCTGTTTTCTGGAAGGAAAATAAGTGATTTAATCAGTAATGAGTATTGATTAGTAGGGAGATGTTTTCGATTGAGTATCCCTTTGGAACTATGAAATGAAATGTATTGAATTTCTTATGGATTCATAAAATTTGGGTGAGATTCCAGTTTTTAACATGAATTTAAATAAACAGGCTTGACCTTTAATATGAAGTGTAAAATTACATGGCACGTGAAAGAGCTGAAAATACAAGCCAGTATACGGCTATGTGCTAAATTGCAAAAGACTGTAAATTTTGTCCACTGTTTTATCTGCTCAAACATCATCAATAGGTCAAGCGATTCAAAATAAACAACACCCCTTCCCACCCTCTCACCTCCCCCAAAAGAAGAGAATTGCTCTGCAAATGCATCAGATCTCCTCTGCAATACCTGGTAAATGTCGGGAATTGGTCTCACGGCCTCTCATCCAAGAGTTCCCGAGCAACTGCAGTGGGTTTGTGGCCACAAGCAGTGCAACATATTTTTCCTGTAATAGTGAAGTACGTTTTTCATAAATTACTAGCCAGGCAGATGGAGTGTGAGATCACTGTTAATACCATCTTGATTAGGTTGGCAGGRACTTAAAGATATGTCTTTATAGTCCTATCTTCATGTAATCTTTGTAGCTATCTGTAAAGTGAGTGTGTGGTCCCAGGCTACTTTGTGCTCTCCAAATGATAGACATCTTTGGCTCTTACTTACAGCTTGTTATTTAAGCAGAAAAGGCCAAGACTGCGGTATTATTTTCATAGCACTGTTGGAGTTGAACACTGCAAAGTTTGTACGGCTCATTTTCTAAGGTACTTTTTTATAGTAGTCTAAAGATTTCTATATTCACCTTTATCAAACTAATTACTTCCACAGTATAGATATTTTTCCTCCAGGGTCCCCCTTCCACTCCTGCCACACTAGGTTACTTTGTGAAAAGAGTTTTTCTTAGATGCAGGGTCTACTTTCCATGTAGTTGCTTCCTGATTTCTTCCAGGCTAACTTGAAGAAAACCACTGGAGCGTTACCCTCTCCCTGGTCAGTATATTCTGTCAGGACAGTGAACAAGAGGAAGAGGCCTGAGAGAACGAAATTTTTGTTTGTGGTGCCAGAATTGCTTAGCATGCTAAATATGTTTGCTCATCAGGGTTTGCTCATCAGGGCTTCCTTTGTGACTGGATGGAGCATTCAGCTAGTATCCCTTTTCCTTGGCATGATTCGGGAGGAAATGGGTGAAGGTGGAAGGAAGCCAGTGAACTACTGGAAGCTCCCTGTGGACAGACAGAGCTGCAGGTAGCGCACGTGTTCCCCAGCCATCCCTGTCAGCTCAAAATGCAGGTATGGGAGGAGAGGGGTCGCTCTAGAACATAAATATGGTCCTCAAGACAGGACAGGGCTGAGTATGATACTCAGAATAGCTCTTCCTTTCTTCCTTTCTAAATGATCCCCATTTGGTTTTGTAATATATGAGCTTAGGGCATTGTTGAAATAGGCTTTCAGTTCCTCAGCACTCCTTCCCTGGAAGGCAGGCTCTCACCAGGTTCTACTGCAGTATCTGACCACGTGCATAAAGAAAAACACAGTGCAATTGCATTTGTGCAGAATTCCTTGTGGAAGCTCTTAAAACTGGTTTATGCAGGTCTTCAGGGCTAATGCAGAAGCATAAGCTTACCTGGCTTGCCTAGTTCAAACTCAGTTTAGCTGCCGCCATGTCTCTACAGACAAGTGGTTGCCAGCAGACAAGCTAGTGCAGCAGAAGAGTTCCTGGTGACAGAGTCATGGTGACCGAGTGGGAGCGCAGTCCTAGCCCACCTTGGCTGCAAAAGAAAATATGTTGATTTAAACTGCCTTCACTTAGGCATTAATCCAGCCAGAACCAGTTCAAAAATAGTTTTGAGTAAGTTGATGAAACTTCTCAATCTAGGTAGAGGCCTAAAAAGTGCCCTGTTTTTTAAAACTCCCTTCTGTTTCTTTTGGACAAAACTAGGTGCTCTGGTTGCCCAGTGTGAAAATGCTGTTGGTTCCAACAGGTCTGGTGTTGTGTGCTCAGAATCAAGACTGCTCTGTGCAAACCACCCTGGTCTCTGGTGGTCATCACCACTGTAGAAAGCAGAGTGAGGAAGAATAGACAGTTGCTTCCAGTTCTACTTAAGGAGCTTTGTGGCATCACTGATTTAAAAAAAAAAAAAAAAATTACTTTTCACATATGCAATGAGTATGTGAGTAATCACCCAGCACATTTGGATTGAGGTATCTCTTAAGAATTGGCCCTTTGCCTTCATTTTGATCTTTATGTGGAAAGTAATTGGGAAGAGATGTAGCCCTTCACAGTAGCCTTTGAGCTTTGGCCAAAAATGATGTCACCTGGAATTTCTATGATAGCTTGAAAGATTGTACTTTCTAAGCACTCTGTGGTATAGCTACCCTTTTTCCTGTCTAAGAATAAATAGCAAAGGTGAAATAAGTTGCAGCTATTGTGAGGAGTCATTCTTTCACAGCATGTTTTTCTTTCTTTTGCAGAATAGATTATCGATGAACCCTGGGTTTGCTAGTTACTCTAAGTGGAGAAACCATTTGGCTTTCCCCTTGTCTTAGTCTTTCAGAGAAAAAAAAATAGGCAAAGGATTTCACTGTTTTGGGGAGTTCAAAACATGAAAGCTGAAAAGTTGCAAGGGAAGGATCTTCAGGCTATAAAGTATTGAGAAGACATTCTCTGTAGAAATCAGTAGGAAAATGCATATGTATRTTTTAAGGAAGATTAATTGATGGATTAAAATAATTTGTCATTAGACATGATATTCTGTGCCAGGAACTCCACAATTACTTTTCAGCGAGATTTTGAAGTTTCAGGATTTAGAATTGCCACCACGCTGGGGGATGTGATTACACTGGTTTGTGTAACTAGAGTCACATTCCTAAGTACAGTATGGAATTCATTCCAAACGAATAAATAATAGGAATTCAACACTGAACATAGTTGTGACAAAAGGCAGTGTGAATTTAACAAAACGCATGTACAAATACATCTACAGATATTTAGATCTAAGATGTTAAAAACCAGTGGATTACCAGATGCATTACCAGTTTGGACTGGGCCAGTAATTTTCTGTGGGAGAGTCACATATTTCTTAGAGCGGTTTATAAGTTGGCATGCTATAGTAAACTTAGTTTACATTCACTTTTTGGCTTGAATCATGAATGAAAATTAGTTGCTTGGTCTCATCTTTGTATTTTACTGGACAGTGCTTTCTTAGACACCAGTTCAGCATTCTGTAATTTCCAGTTAGCCTCAAACATGGCCTGGTTTGAGCATGACAGGTAAAAATGGAATTTTATTGGCAGATCTGAGTTGG